TAGATTAGCAGTGAAAAGCACCGACAGGCCCAGGGGGCTGCTTTCTTCTTAAACTATTTACTGGGTCAGGACTGGCCATTGATGTTTATAAATGGGTCCTGGTACAAAAAAGCTTGAGAAAGACTGATCTAGTTCAACTCCCACAACAGCCCAATGATTAAAGCACTCAGCCAGACAGTGGGCAACCTCGGGTTGTTTCTTTCCTCAATCAGAGTAGGTTCAAATAATCTCTCCCCCTCCCAGGAAAGTGATATGTGATATAACTACCAGGTCATAATCTTTTTTTTCTTTTTTCTTTTTTTTTTGGCGGGGGGAGGGGGTTGTCAGTCTCTAGCCCTCCTGCTGTAACTGTGCCACTGGGCAGTATAGAGTTCAAGGTGTATTGGGAGAGAGAGGAAGCGTGATTATGGCATTTTGGGGAGTATGGAGGGGACTCCTCATTTCCAGTCCCTATTCCCTGGGCTTTTTAGGTATAGTATAACCTCATAAATCCAGATATCAAAAATCTGGAATTCTTGAAAATCCAACACTTTTTAAAAATACACCACATTGGGGAGTAGCGGTGGCCAGTCCTGGAGCAGTGGAACGGGAAGCTTGCATATGGCAGCTGCCACTGCTATCTACCACCCCATGCCGCTGCTCTGCGTGCTGCCGCTACCCCTCACCCCTGCTCCACAACTGGCTGCCTCTCCAGTTTCAAAAATCCAGAATTTTCAAATTTCCACCAGGCACTTGGTTCCAAGCATGCCGGATTTATGAGGTTATACTGTATTTTATATGAAGTGATAAATACATGGTCAGGCTTCTGTATAATAGTCAAAGTTACAAGTGTCATTTGACTAAGAATTCCACAGCTGTATTTGTAAGTTTGAAATGCTGGCAAGGCACTTTCCTTTTACAATTTCAATCATTTGTTTTTAATGCAGAGGCAACATGGTCTGTCTCTGGGTGTTATATAAATGGACCTGATTCTCTTCTCATAGGAAATTCCATCAGAATTCTAGTGGTAAGAGAGAGAGAATGAGAAAAAAAAACCATAGCACATAATATTTTAATTAAGTTGTTTATCATGGGAAATTATGGGAAAAGTCAAATGCCTTATTTTACCAAATATATTATAAATAGATTTAATCATATTTAACTAATTAAAACCATTCAAAACCCCATACTCCATTACACTGGACCCATACTGTGCCAAATATGCAAGCATTCATGGAGAAGGCTTGTACAGTAGCTGGCTGCCCAGGGTGACAGACTGAGAACCAGATCTGCAGCTGGTCAAACTTGGCTTAGCTCTGCTGAAGGCAGTGGAGTCAAGCCAATTTATACCAGCTGAGGATCTGGCCTCATGACTTTATATGGGAAAAAATAAGAAGTTGCAGGATGAGGTTTTTTTCATGGAAACGTGGTAATGACAAACACAGAACACTAGCAATAAAATAGAAGGATTGATAATAAACATTTATACAATAATGAGGGGAGAAATCAGCACCAGGGCAGAATGTCTGGCAAAGTGATTCTATAATCACATCATCACATATTTCAGCCCCTCAACCATGTGGAAGCACTGTTCAACTTGTAAACAGAAAGGCAATGTAATTTAGCTGCCCTTACTATTTCAACAGTTACTGCAGTATCATTAGAGCTGCAGCTGTGACATCTTCATTGTGAGTGACATGGATTCCTTGATTTTCAGATTTTATAAACAAATAAACCTGATTATTGACATCCTGAGTTTTTTTCCCCAGGTAGGTGTATGGAGGTCAGTGTAAACAATGTGAGATGCAAGGATTTTTGGGGGGTGATATCTGGGCTATCATGGCTACAACATCATTCTAACACTAGCCTAAACAATGGAATTTCAATGGGAACGCTGAGACCAGTCAAAGCAATTTCTGGGCAATACAGAAAACTAGTGGGGCTCAGTCCTGGGAGGTGCTGAGTGGCCTCCACTTCCATTGAGGTTAAGTGGGAGTTGATGATGCTCAGTAGCTTGCTCAAAGGTAGTTCAAAATTATACTGCCGTAGATGAGAACAGAATTTTGCCTTCTCTGCAAGAACAACTTGTGTGATAGCAGCACCTAGCAGACAGACTCTTTTTGCAAAGCACTGTACAAACCAAAGAGCCCACACAAAATGAGATACCACATATGAGTGTAAAACACAACAGGGGCAAAAGGGAGAGAATACAAGAGTAACTGCAGTAGAAACATTTGGCTATATCAACCACCTCCATGCACAACTTGATGTTAATTCTACAAAGACAAGGAGTTGTTTACCTCTGGTCTAGCTATAGTGCATCCATCACATAGTATGTGAGGCTATGTCTTAATACTAGAATATTTTTGCTGGTTTAACTAATTTATGTAAAATTGATTTAAATCTGGGTTTATATCAACATAACTAGTTTGATTTGGAATGTTTAGATAAACAAGTGGAACTTTTCTAGCATATACTGGGTCATATACCGCATCTGAGTCTCTCCATCCTATAAGATTACTTGGCTGTAAAATTAAGAAAGTTACCCTCCCATACCTCCTTAGCTATCTGCTTGCCTCTGCTCAGATTGTAACTCCAGCCACACAGGCTCAGGCTCAATTACCCAGCATTCCTCTGTAATGACAGGGAGGGAAAGAATGGGAACTGGGAAAGGCACTGGCTCTGTTTTCACTCTCAAGCTAGAGTAGCTACCTGAGTATATGCAGAGCTACTCCAAGAAAAGGAGTAAAGTAACCCCCTTAGCCCCTGTACCACCAGAACATGGAGAGGAAGAGAGGAATTGCAACTTTCTGTTACCTTTTGTTCATAAAACACAGCCATCAATGAGTTAGTGGCTACATCCACAAGCACAATCAAGAGAAATAAGGATAGTACCGTATTTTCTCACATACCATGTGCCCTCCCTCCCCCAGATAAGACACCCACCTTGGGGGGGGGGAATAAGAACGGGGAAAAAACCCAGAACATTTTTCTAGAGTCAGGGTTGAATGCAGGCTGCATGGAGCAGGAACAGAATCTATTCATCAGTGTCTCTCGTTCTATACTTGCCAACTCTGCAACTCAAGCTTTAACCCCATCACAGCCACTGCCAAATTGGCTAGTCAGTCAAAAGCTGCTGACAATTCACCAGCAGCTGAGCTGGGGTTAAAACATGAGCTGCAAAGTGTGCAAGAAGAGAGAAAGTGACACTGAGAACTGGACTTTTGCCCTTCTTCCATATAGCCAGGAAGGCAAAGGAAAGCAGCATAGCCCCCTGCAGCCACTACAGCATTTGCACACCTCCATTCCAGTGCAAGAAAAATAGCTTCCTTAAGTTAAAACACATCGCCCAATTTTGGAGAGCTAATTTTGGGGGGAAGGTGTATGTGGTATGCAAATAAATATAGTACAACACACAAAGGCCCAATCCTGCCTCCATTCCCTTCACATCAAAAACTTTTACTGAAGTCAGTCAGCATCCAGGATGTGACAAGAAGGCAACAGTAAGCTCAGTGGGCCTGATTCTACTCTCACGCTGATTTTTACACTGCTCAGGTCCATTGACTTCAGTGGAATTACTCTTGTTATGCACAAGGGAAATCACAAGCATAGCCAGTATCTGTTGTGTTCATTTAGTTTGACAACTGCAACTTTAATTACTTATGATATACTCTGACATGTACACTATATAGCCTATCATGTAAAATCAAAGCAGTCTAACTAATGAGACACCTCAGTTGGTCACTTTGCTCCTAATCTTTGCTGAGAAATGGAACCCATTGATTCTACCACCTGATTCAAGTCCAACAGAAGCTAATTGAAGTCTTTCCATTGACTCTGGTGAGGGCTGTACAGGGCCTTCTGTGAGTCTCATCAACTTTGCAAAGCAGTCAAGTGAGATTTAGCAAGGCACTTCTATACTTCTATGGCCTTAGTCCTTTTTGTAATTAACAATCCATTATTTGTATACATATTTCCATTACAAATATCACCTCTCTAATCATTAACTAGTTTGCCTGGTGTATAATAGACTACTAACATTTTGCCTAACACCATTTATTTTTTACATGTCTTTTGATTAATAATATTGTCTCTAATAATTAAGTATTAATTGTACTATTTAAATTAACTACTAAATAATGTAATATTTCCTGACCTTAATATATTTACTCACATACCATATCACATGCAGCTTTTTTGCCAGTCAGCTTCCCCTCCACCCCAAATTGCATATCTTATTTTGATTATTTTACTTGGCTGAAATAGAAGCAGGGTGGCCCTGAAGCAAGCAGACACCATGATTCATGGCAGCTAAGATGGTTTCTGCTTCTCTGTGGCCCTAAAAGCAGAAGGGGTGAAGTCCAGTGTTAACAGCCTGAGCACTTTGAACTGGTTCAGGGCCTGTGAGCTCCTGGATACAGTCTGCAGAATCTCAATGAGGCTTGTGGTGTAAAAACAACACTTCATTATTTACGGAACTTATATAAAGAACTATTTACAGTAAAGAAGTAATAGTCTTGTTACTGTCTTTGCAAGGGCCTGTTGCCTATCTCTGTCATTGTCTTGCCACACCAGAAATTTCCAGCTGCCTCACTCAGACTGCCTCTTGGAATGCCACATTTTTGGATGCACTTTTTCCAGGAGGATTTACTTTGTATCACACAGTTGGCTATGACTCCGGAAAAAATCTTTTTTTTTTCTATAGTCTGCCTTCCAAAAACAAGGTGCATGTTTTATTTGTGGAAGTGTGGTATGAAAGAAAATACAGTATCTAGTTGTTATGAAACTGTAGCCATGTACTTAAGTCTTTGCTGATGGGACTTTTTTTTTATTCTCTGAAGTATTAATTTAGTACATCATAAAAAGCTAAGATGCTAAGAGGAAGATTCTGCTTCCATTACATCCCATTACAACCAAAAGCTGCTGCCAATTTAGCATCAGCTGTGACAGGTTTAAAGCTTAAGCTGTAAGTAGAGAGTGAGTGATGCTGAAACGACTCTGTTCCTGCTCCATAAGACTTGCACTTAGTCTTGACTCTAGAAAAATCTTTTTCTTCGTTCTGCCTTTCCAAAATAAGGTGCGTGTCTTATTTGAGGACATGTGGTATGTGGGGAAAATGCAACAATTTGTGATGTTATTGGAAAATGTACATGCTTTGAGATTTTAACAGAATTCTCATGTGTTTTTAGTGCCTGCTACTCTGCTCTGTCACTTACCTTTTGAGCCTGGAAACTCATTTAGCTCTTTGTGCCTCAGTTTCCCATATAATGATTCTTACCTTTGTTAGAGATCAGCAGACCAAATCACTATGTGAATGCTAGGTATTATCACCGCTCTTGGGGTTGATGTATTTGTGGTATATAATGTATTTAAAGTAGTTTAACATATAAAAACAAGTTTTTATTAAAGTCACATAAATTGTTGAATAATAAAGTGTGACATTGAGAATATAGATCAAATGTGACCTCACCATGAGAATCTAAGGCTATCACCTGGTGTGGGCATCATCTAGTAACCTAAACTACATTCATAATGGTCTAATCATAGTCCCTAATACAAATACATTAATTCCTTCCTTCAAAAGCTGAAGGCATGTGCGTGGTTTTAATATACTTTCATTTCAGTACCCTAATGAAGACCTTTCTGCTAGATAACAGACATGTGACCTCAGATGAAAATAAAACAATCACCTGCAGACTATGGTCTCCCTCACTTACATAGGTCCACTGCCTATTGTTTTCACTAGTATCAATGGAAACTACATGAGGGTAGGATCCTGCAGGTTGATTCATTTCTTCATTCTACCAAAAGAAGGAAATTGAACTCCATGCAGTTTATTATGCATGAGACTTTTTTTCATTTACATTGTCTCCTAAGCTAATTTTTTCTCTGCATATTACTATCAATTGTTTGTCCCCTTCCACTTCAGAAGTGGCTGGATTTTATTGGTAGTATATGTCTGGGTATAAGTTGTACAGCACTTCGGACTCTCTGTATAAATGCAAACTATTACTGGATAGAATGCAGTGCATTTGGTTAAGTAAAGGTTTAATCTTTGTAACAATACTTTAAACACTTTATATTTATATATAGCACTTTGTTCTGAGGTGCTTAAGTACCACACAGATGCTTTATACTCTACCATACCACTCAAAAATAAACACTATTCACCCCATTTTACAGGTTGACAAAATGAGGCAAAGTGAAAGTTTAAGGAAATTAACCAAGGTCACATACAAGCTCACTGGTCCAGGCAAAAGTAGAAACCAAGTCTTTTGACATAAAGGATCATACTTCCTCCATAAAACTTTCATTCCTTATCTATATTTTAGGATCTATGTTTTCCTTAGAAGCTAAGCACTTAAAAAGTCTCATTTTCTTCTGTTGAATACAAAACTATTTAATGAAACAAAAACATAAGTAGTATGAAATAATCTATTTAAAAGTTTTGACTCATAAGTACATACATATTCATGGAATGACTTCATTGAGACATTAGTTTCCATGTTATTGAGAGTTTTTCTTCCTTATGGGTTTTTTTATGGGTTTTAGAATATGCATAACTTTTAAGTATATTGAAAAGAATGTATCTAGATACCATCCATTGTAGCAGCCATTGCTGACAGGTGTTAAACTTAGTGACATTTTCTGGCAGTTTCCCAAAACATGTACTAATCTAATGATTTGCATTCAATATAAGTAAGATCATCACTAGCCAGCATTTGTGTGAAGTCAGAAAATATCCAAACACTAAAGCCAGTTATATTACTAAAGTCCCAGCAAGAAAATTAATATATTTAGAAACTAGGTAGTAGATAACATAAGTACCACAATACTAGATAAAAGCATATGAGAAATTAAGGCATAAAACCAAGAACTTTTTAAGATGGAGATTATCTTTTTATGTTTTTGTCTGATGCTTAGCAATAATGGGGCCAAATGTAAGGGGGGGTCTCTGGGTGCTAGCAAATAGTAATGTGAATGGGCTCATTAAAAAATACATAGGTGTTTGGGCATCGACTGTGATGGAAGCTACAGTTAACCCTGAACTCAGTTAATTTATACAGGGTGTGTTTATACTGATTTGGTATCTTTTGTATTCAGCTTTCATTATGTGAATACAACAGCCACTTTTACATTACTGGTGCACAACTGCACAAATTCAGCTAGGCAATAGTTTACTAAATGCTATTACAAGCTCTCTGAGAGAGAGGATGTGAATTGTTTTAGGTGGGGGGAGGTAGCTTGTTTATTTGTATAATGCCAGATGTACTATGGCCTGTAGTCACTAACAAAATACAAATAATAATGATGTTTGTACTCTGGGGAAAAGAAAAGTATTTTGAAATATACTATTTGGAAACTCATCACTTCTTAGTATGATGTTGTTATTACTTTAGAAAACAACACATTCCAAATAGTTTATATCTAAATATATCAGCATTTGCTATTGTGGCAAATATTTTTCTGCATAAAGTGACAATTGCAGAATGTGCTTAATGAGTACATTTTAATACTATACACTATGAAACTTTTCCAAAGCTACATATACTGAGGCATAGTGTGGCCCTTTGTAATGCTTGTATGCTTATAGAAAAATTGTAATATCTTGAAGAAGCCCTCTTACCTGTGCTGACTAAATGCTAGGAAAAAAGTAATAGAAAATAATTTAATAATGTTAAGAATCTGATGTAAACTAATGAAAGGAGAGAGACTCTTACATTGTTAAACGTCTATTCTCTAAATAGGTCTCACTGTTATATGCTTTCCCTTCTTTGTGTGTGAGATCTGATTGCATTGCAGATATGTCAAGAACAGTACCCTTAACTGGGCAAGTTTTTCTGATCTTAGCATAATATCATTTGCTAAATATGTTATAATACCATCTTTCTTGTGGGCTTTGATTCCCCCATTTAAGACTTGTATAAATGAACCAATGTGTTTATTCATACCTGTGCCCACACATGCACATTACAAAACAGTTATAGGAAATGCCTGCCTCTCTCTTTACATTTCTGGATTGTTGCTGGTTTATGTCAGACTCATGGCCCACCACTGCTCTGAGTTGTTCCAGGTGTAAACCCAGGAGTAGACTCAGCTGAACTCAGTGGTTTTACTCAGATGTGTAAACAGTACATTTTTTCTCTGCATATTACTATCAATTGTTTGTCCCCTTCCACTTCAGAAGTGGCTGGATTTTATTGGTAGTATATGTCTGGGTATAAGTTGTACAGCACTTCGGACTCTCTGTATAAATGCAAACTATTACTGGATAGAATGCAGTGCATTTGGTTAAGTAAAGGTTTAATCTTTGTAACAATACTTTAAACACTTTATATTTATATATAGCACTTTGTTCTGAGGTGCTTAAGTACCACACAGATGCTTTATACTCTACCATACCACTCAAAAATAAACACTATTCACCCCATTTTACAGGTTGACAAAATGAGGCAAAGTGAAAGTTTAAGGAAATTAACCAAGGTCACATACAAGCTCACTGGTCCAGGCAAAAGTAGAAACCAAGTCTTTTGACATAAAGGATCATACTTCCTCCATAAAACTTTCATTCCTTATCTATATTTTAGGATCTATGTTTTCCTTAGAAGCTAAGCACTTAAAAAGTCTCATTTTCTTCTGTTGAATACAAAACTATTTAATGAAACAAAAACATAAGTAGTATGAAATAATCTATTTAAAAGTTTTGACTCATAAGTACATACATATTCATGGAATGACTTCATTGAGACATTAGTTTCCATGTTATTGAGAGTTTTTCTTCCTTATGGGTTTTTTTATGGGTTTTAGAATATGCATAACTTTTAAGTATATTGAAAAGAATGTATCTAGATACCATCCATTGTAGCAGCCATTGCTGACAGGTGTTAAACTTAGTGACATTTTCTGGCAGTTTCCCAAAACATGTACTAATCTAATGATTTGCATTCAATATAAGTAAGATCATCACTAGCCAGCATTTGTGTGAAGTCAGAAAATATCCAAACACTAAAGCCAGTTATATTACTAAAGTCCCAGCAAGAAAATTAATATATTTAGAAACTAGGTAGTAGATAACATAAGTACCACAATACTAGATAAAAGCATATGAGAAATTAAGGCATAAAACCAAGAACTTTTTAAGATGGAGATTATCTTTTTATGTTTTTGTCTGATGCTTAGCAATAATGGGGCCAAATGTAAGGGGGGGTCTCTGGGTGCTAGCAAATAGTAATGTGAATGGGCTCATTAAAAAATACATAGGTGTTTGGGCATCGACTGTGATGGAAGCTACAGTTAACCCTGAACTCAGTTAATTTATACAGGGTGTGTTTATACTGATTTGGTATCTTTTGTATTCAGCTTTCATTATGTGAATACAACAGCCACTTTTACATTACTGGTGCACAACTGCACAAATTCAGCTAGGCAATAGTTTACTAAATGCTATTACAAGCTCTCTGAGAGAGAGGATGTGAATTGTTTTAGGTGGGGGGAGGTAGCTTGTTTATTTGTATAATGCCAGATGTACTATGGCCTGTAGTCACTAACAAAATACAAATAATAATGATGTTTGTACTCTGGGGAAAAGAAAAGTATTTTGAAATATACTATTTGGAAACTCATCACTTCTTAGTATGATGTTGTTATTACTTTAGAAAACAACACATTCCAAATAGTTTATATCTAAATATATCAGCATTTGCTATTGTGGCAAATATTTTTCTGCATAAAGTGACAATTGCAGAATGTGCTTAATGAGTACATTTTAATACTATACACTATGAAACTTTTCCAAAGCTACATATACTGAGGCATAGTGTGGCCCTTTGTAATGCTTGTATGCTTATAGAAAAATTGTAATATCTTGAAGAAGCCCTCTTACCTGTGCTGACTAAATGCTAGGAAAAAAGTAATAGAAAATAATTTAATAATGTTAAGAATCTGATGTAAACTAATGAAAGGAGAGAGACTCTTACATTGTTAAACGTCTATTCTCTAAATAGGTCTCACTGTTATATGCTTTCCCTTCTTTGTGTGTGAGATCTGATTGCATTGCAGATATGTCAAGAACAGTACCCTTAACTGGGCAAGTTTTTCTGATCTTAGCATAATATCATTTGCTAAATATGTTATAATACCATCTTTCTTGTGGGCTTTGATTCCCCCATTTAAGACTTGTATAAATGAACCAATGTGTTTATTCATACCTGTGCCCACACATGCACATTACAAAACAGTTATAGGAAATGCCTGCCTCTCTCTTTACATTTCTGGATTGTTGCTGGTTTATGTCAGACTCATGGCCCACCACTGCTCTGAGTTGTTCCAGGTGTAAACCCAGGAGTAGACTCAGCTGAACTCAGTGGTTTTACTCAGATGTGTAAACAGTACAAATGAAATGAAAATGAAGCTGCGGTAAGGAATGGGGGTCTTGTTTTTATTTTGCATGTTTCTGGTAGATGAGAGTGATGAAGACTCTCAATCAAAAGCCAGTTCAGTCGGGGGAATTGACACCTTTTCAGAAAACTCCAGGAGCTTCATGAATTAAGGAAACAACTGTCCATGAGCAATTCCTCTCTTTAAAAACAGTACAAAAATGTTAGTATCAAAGGTTAGAAAGAAAGAGCAGAGTCTATATGACTTTCTCACCTATGGGGAGAAAACATATATAGTTCAATAAAAGCCAGTAGACAAAAAAAGAGATTGATTAACCAATGTGCAACCAGGTGCAACTCGATTGCTGTTACCAGAATTGTACCTGTTTGCATCAAAAATGAAATTACGGAAACTCTCCGTTGAACCAATATCACAGAAGCATTGCCTGGCCCCAAATCACTTCCCCTTCACAGATACCATTCCTATTGATTCAATACAGCACCTGCCAGGTCATCAGCATGCAGGTATGATTCTCGTGATTAATCCCTTTGTTTCAATTAGCTGCATATTGTTTTCCTTGGAAACCTGGCTCTATTTCAGTTTTTAGCAAAATGAGAGATACACCATCAACTTCTGTAAAGGTATTTTATATTTCCAAATGCAGACTTTCACCCACTCTGCTGTATTAGCCATTACTGATTAGTTGTGTAAGAAAGACTCCCCACTGTAAATTATATTGAATGTATTTTTACCCTGTATCACAACCCATTATTATCTCCGAGGTACTATCACTAATATACAAAATAACAATAATCTGATCCTTGGTTAGTTTTAAGAAAGACATTAGTAAAATTACTTGTATTCATTGAGATACTGAATTAGAAACAGTGAAATGTAATCAAAGCATCTAATCTGATACATACATCTTTCTCTGAACTTCTCCTAGGGTCTGATCCTGTTATAATAATCAGTTAGGAATCAAAGCTCCTCGGTAATACAGGCCAAAACTTTCAAGAACAGCCTTACATTCTTAATATCTAACATGGAACAGAAATGTAAACCACATATTTTGGAATTTTGAGCACCCATAGCTCCCTCTGACTTCATTTGGAGATGCCTGCACTGAATGTTAAAAAGAAAAAAAGGTCAGGCCGAACTCAGCCAAATTCAAAGTCTACTTCTGAAAATATTTAAAATACTGTCCCATAGTTTTCTACATGTTACAGACATACTAACAGATGTGCACAAAGGGAAAAAATTACTGAAAAACAGGTGAATATTGGATGTAGTGTCTTTCAATCTTCTCTCATCCTAGATAAAATAGCACAAATTTAATTCCATGCCAACTCTCCTTTGTTAAGTTCAGAAAGTTTAGCTCACTGTTATAAAAGCCATTTTGTGTGATTTGCGATACATTAATCCTCTGAAAATATTTATTACAGTGTTTGAGTAAGAGATATATATAAACTCCCAGATATACAAATGCAAAAATAAATAAGTATAATGTCCATATACATCCGCATAGGCATTTTATTTATGTTAACTACATGAGCTTAGCTCGTGTTTTTTCAGCAGAATCTAAAAATGCATATGCCCTTGTATGATATCATTTATTATAAAGGAGGAAGCATAATCCAGTGGGTAGAGCAAAGAACTGTGATTTAAGACTCAAAAATTCTATTTTCACTTCTCCCATCAGACTGTCTTAAATGTTGAACATAGTTTCCCTGTGCCTCAGTTTCCACAGCTCTCAAATAAAATGAATAGCATTTATCTGTCTGATATTTGTATTGTGATAGTAATGATGATTGTGAAGTGTTTTTAGATCTGTGGTCGAAAGGTGTTCTTCAGTGACAAAATGTGCTGTGTTTAGTTTATTTTTAAAAGAAAATGTATGAATATAGTATATTGTCCTAACCGAATGTTTTTCCCACTATCCAGAGGTGTTTGTTACATTACCATTCTCAATACCAATAGGACTGTATCCTATTAATAGGACTGTATCTCACATAAGCAATGTTATGGCTTTTTTTTTAGCTGTTCAGCTTCACTTTGATAATTTTCAATCTGTCACAAAAAGAGGCATTGATAAGAAATTGATTAGGCCAAAGGGATTTTTATTCTGTACAACCCAAATAGTCAAACTCTAAATATGTTCACCCTGCAAACTGTTCCATTTAGAAATTCTTCATCAGTGTGACCTGTCTTTTCTTCCCAACACTGAAAATAGATGCTCTGTCTGTATGTTGGGCATGTTCCCCTTTGGAGCAGCAGCAAGACTAGTTCAGCTGAAGAGAAAAGGTAGGTAAAAGGGAATTCTGGGGCCCAAACTGAACCCTAATTTCTCTTTCTTTCTTGACAACTGTGGCCCAATCCTATTTCCAATGTGACGTGCTGATTCTTTGCAAGAGTTATATGCCACTCCTAATGCCCAGGACAGTGTGTGTGAAGTTCAGTAATTCAGAGCAAGGGAACTCTTCCTTTCAGCTGTCCTACAAGAGGCTATCTTGGTTCCCAGGTTTCCCCTGCTGCCCCCCCCCCCCCCCAAAAAAAAAAAAAAAAAAGGTGGGGGAGGCAGGCTCCTTTCAGAACCGGTTCTGTGACTGAAGTGTGGTTTTGCCTGGCTTGTAAATGCGGCATCAACTCCAGCCTGCAGGCAACACGTCCGATCCAGCCTGGCCAGTCTAAAATACCAGTGCTTCACAGGGCTGGTAAATTTGGATTTACTTAGGAGTCGCTTTCCCTCCAGCTCTCGGCGAGGCGACTCAGAAAGTGACCCCGCAGGAGATCTAGGAGTCCCGGGGCTGTGGCTGCGGGCTCCGAACGTTGAGACACTGGCCATTGTGACGTCTGCACCCGGCTCTTTTGTTCTTCAGTAACGAGCTGCGCGCCTCCTCCCTAAACCTGCATGGTCCTTTCTGATCGCTTCCCCCGCTGCTTAAGAAAAGTGTGCGTGTGTGTGGGACCCCACAACCCCACAATCCCAAGTGCTGGATTCACTACATACGCTTTGCACAGAGAGGATACACATTTGGGGGAAGAGGGGAGATCACTGGGGATGGTCCCTTCCCATCCTTGAAGTCTGTAGTCTTCTTCTACTGCTCAACTATCAACACACGTCTTGTGCTTCAAGGCTAGGGTCTCAATCCCTCTCCTTTCCAGAGTAGTAAAATAACTGGGCAACGGAGGTGTATTTTTTAAGACATCACGAGCAAGACTGTGTAGTCAGTCGCTGATCTTTTCTTCTTTGATTCCCCTGAACACTTGCTTTGTCTCTCATGGATAGTTTGAAACTTTCTGAACTGCGCTCGGCAGTAGTTACCTTTTTCTAGTGGCATCCTGTTCTCGAAAGCGATCTCGTTAGTTTAGGAATATCCTTTTAGCTTTGCAATGCGGACTCCCTGGTGATGGGTCCCGCCTCTCCTACCTCTCTTTGCTACATATTAGTGCGATTTCTATCATTTCAGATGGCCAAGCAAATGCCAGGCTATAACTTATGCTCAAATGGGTCTCGTCGTACTAAGAACTGAATCGAGAGTCCGGGGCAGCCGCCACAAAGTAAGGATGAAAGGAATGGAAACAACAATCTGAACTATTTTCAAAGTCATTTAGAGACCTGTTTGTATTTTTAATGCAATATAGGGAATGAGGGAAAACCACTTTGAACAGGTTTGAATGGGCGGGATAATAGCTTAATTAAATCACCGTTGGACCGTAGAAAATAAATGCCTCCTGTCCTTGTCTTTTAAAGAAGGAAAGGGGGATTGCTACCCTCCTTGGCGAGCACATATATCCAAATGTAAGCGTTACATTTAAACTCCTCTCTCGTCCACACACTAATAATAACCAGAAGGGATTATGGGGGGTATTATTTATTATTTTAGTTGATTTACTAAGGACAGCGAATATAATCCCACGTGGGATACAAGGGTGAGTTTGGGACAGACCCCGAGGCTGGAGGTGAACCCGAGATGGCCGAGGGGTGGCTGAAACATTCAAGGTGATGAGACCGTCAAAAGGATGGCAACTTTTTAAAGCGGTTCGTAACTTGGAAGCGAAAAAAACTCCGAACGCCTCGCTTGTTTGGCAAGATCCTTTCTTTCGTCAGCGGTAATCTGAGTGATCAACCTTGGTCATCGTTAGAAAAATCAGAGCAAAGTGGGGGAGGGGTCAGGATCAGTTCAACGGTGACCACCCGAGCTGCACAAAGCAGACGCGTCCTAGGTTGAACTGCCAAGGGCTACAACTCCAAGTGTCCTTAGCTAAGCAGCACTTGTTCCTCACCTCGTCACTACGTGGGCAAAGCCTGAGAAGCGGATCTCCTGGGAGTCATCAAATACATTCAAACACAAAGGAGAGAAGGGGTCACTCCCAAGTTTGGAGTCTTGCAAAATGCTGAGAGCTGGGAGCGCCTCCTAATCCGTCCCCAAACAAGCAAAGCCCTTTGAAGCTAGTCGTCTAGTTGCTGCTTTAAGGGTTTGGGTTTTTTTAATGGAAAAACCCTTTCCGCAGATAGACTGTCATTTGGGCAGATGACAAGCCGGCAAAACATGATGTGGGGGGGGGCGGTTTTTTGCCAGGGGCAAAAGGTTAACAGATAATTCTGCGGGTGGCAGACAGGTAGGTGGATGCTGAAAACATCTTCCACCGACGTGTCCTACTTTAGCGATCCTAATTAAAAGAGGGTTAAAGGATGCACAATCAAAAGAGCCACCGCTGCCTGCTGCCTCGGCAATGGGTGTGGGGGACGCCGACAGGCACCAAGGGTGCAGACAGAAGTGCAGCTCCCAGCTGTAACTCGCAACGATTTGCTCCCAGCTTGTCCCGCTGGGCGCCTCTGTCTAAATAAATAAATAAAATACAGCTCGCCCTTTGATGTGAACTTATCTCTTTTTGTTTGTTTGTTTGTTTGTTTTAACCGGGTTTCTTTCTTCTGATGTGTGTGCTCAGATACGTACCGTGGGGCCGTGGCCCACTTTCAGCCCCGCAGGTTGCGCCCTGTATTGTGTGCATTTCTGAAAGGCGAGGAGGTGGGGGAGTCTTGCATGTAGCCTGGGAGTGTGAACCGAATGAGTCTGAAGTAGGGGGGTCAGGGAACACACGGAGCATCCTCTCCTTTTTTTACATCTCCCCCCAACCAAGAGGAGCTGTGACTTTGTAAGGTACAGACTGGCTCTGTCTAACACTTTGAAGCAGTAAGGCATCCAGTTTTGTCTTGTTTTTTTTTTCCCTGATGCTGCCTTTCCAGGGCCGCTGGTTGAAAAAGAAGCTTTACTGCCACCTATAAATGGCACTAGATCCAAGGCACCCCCCCCCCCCGCGCAAGGAAGCAGCAAAGTTAGAAGCAAGTTTCCCTGCTCTTTTGTGTGCGCTCGTCCTTAAACCATCTGTGCTTCAAGTCTGCTCAAGCAAATACAAGACCCAAACACAAAGACAAGCCTTGGCTTCTCCTGAACTTGGGTGGCAAAGTAAAGGAACAAATGCACACACTCACCGTGCTCTCTGGATTTCCAAGTGAAACTCCTGCTCTCCCTCTTCTTTGTGTTTAAATGGCTATAGAGGTTACATCCCGGGCGCACTGCCTCATGCCCTGGATAACCCTGACTCTGCTCGTGTAATGCTACCCTGCCCCGGGAGTGCACGATCAGAGCTCAAGTATTGTTGGAGAAAAGTGCCTTTCCCTGCTGGAAGCAAATCCCCACTTTTCACCCCCCACGCCGGGTCCCTAGTGGGCTTTGCATCCCTCAGACTTCTCCAGCCATGTTCCCAAGAGCCACATTCCCTGTCTCACATCGCATTTTCCCCTTCCCTGAGTCAACTGGGCAATTTCTTAAATGCACCGTGTGGGGCTTGACTTCACTTCTGGGGTCACACTGAGGTTGGAGGATGCCTTGGAAAGCATGCAGGCAGGGGCCGGCCATCCCCCCCCCCCTGCCACTGAGCGGGCTGAGGCGGCGCGGAGCCTGGAGAGCACGCTGTGCGATCTGCCTCCTTCTTCCCAGCTGTGCTCCCGGAGCCCGGGCTCCTGGGCAAGCTGCATCCCTACCTGTCGGTCTGCACAAGCTGTCTGACAGCCACTTCTTTAGACACGCGGTTATCATCAAGCCTTTTCCAAATTCCTATACATCGATCCTCCTCTCCAGACTTGTATCATTGTCTAGGGGTCGAAAAGCAGAGCTGGGAGGAGGGGGATATAACCTGCCTTATCTTTCTGTTGCTAATTCCCAGCCGGCTCGGACTCAGGGGAAAAGGCAATCGCTTAGCAAAACCCTCCTCCTCCTCCCTCCTTCACCACTCCTTCTTTCCTTTTTCTCCAGCACATTTCCCCCTTGACATTTGCCTATGGTTCATTCTTCCTCTTCAGGAGGGAGAAACCGCGCAAACTACAACTAAAAAGAAAGAAAGAAAAAAAATCCTAGGGAAGAGGTGGAGAGGAAGCGGGGAGATAAAGGAAGAGAAAGGGAGGGAAGGATTAAAAAAAAGGTAAAAAGTGTCTGTGCCTGATTTCAGTGACCATCTGTGCAAAAGGTGATCATGGCTGGGTACTCACATGGCTGGATGGCAGAGCAGCTCGGAGCAATTAAGAAGTCTCTCGGCTGGAGATCTTCTCCCCCTCTTTGCTTGTAGCTGGCTCTCTGGCTAGCACACACACACACACGCACACACACACACACACACACGCACGCACCCACCGATCAGATGCTGCAGGACCGGTCACTTTGCAAAGGGAACAAGCACGGGAGGGTTTGCATTCCTCCGGCTCCCTGTGTGTAGCCTATAAATAGCGAACTTTTTGATGGAATCAGCTAACAAATGAGAGAAGAAGGCGTAATTTTGCGCAGGGAGCCCCCCTTTCTCTTTGCAAGATTAAAACCCCCCGGGCAGCAGCCAGGGCTAAAGTTGGGAGCGGGTGGAAAGGAACTGGACTTTATTATGATTGTGTGTGTTGGGGAGGGGGCTTTTTGTTTGTTGTTGTTTGGGTCTCCCCCCCCCAATCATCTATGTTACAGCCCTCCCAAGGGTGGGAGACGTTGACCTGGATTAGCACTGACTTTCCCGTCCGCAGTGTGGAGGAGGGGGGAGCTGGGGCGGGCAGGGCACAGCCTGGAGGGGGAAGCGGGACAGCACTTGGGGGGCCAGGGTCGGGCGATCTGTCTGTCGGGCACTGGCTGGGAAGAAAGGAGGCGATTTGCCCGGGACTGGCCAGGCACTGATGCCCTCCGTTCCCGCAGCAAAGTCAAGCCCCTTTCGGTTTGATCACCACCCCCGCCTCCTCCAATGCGGGGTGAGTGGGAGAGAGCTTGGCTCTGCCTCTGACCCGGGCCGGGGGCTGGCACGGACCCGGGCAGCTCTGGGCACTCACTCAGCTCCGCTCCGAGCCCGCCTGCCT